GTGAATTGAGTTGTTTGACATCCAATAACAGTGAATTATTTTGGTTAAAATAATACAGACAAATATTTAACTATGCCACATGATTTAGCAAAGCATGTTTTGTGCATCTGTGTGTATCAGAATTGCAATAAGAATATGTCTGTATGAGAGTATGTATCAGTATAATCACAGTAAGTATTTTGTCATATTGTACAACCTTTGTGCATTCTTGAGGCACCACATCTTTTCTGTATTGTGAAACCAATTTAGCTGCATAATTGGTGGCTGATTTAGCAAAAGTGCTAAGTGCTGAACTGTTCATTATGCATTGTTTTCTCAGCATCAACCGATGCCACAGACAGATGGCAGAGATTGCCGTCAATGCCATCCTAACTGTGGCCGACATGGAGAGGAAAGATGTTGACTTTGAGCTCATTAAGATGGAGGGAAAAGTTGGAGGTAAACTGGAGGACACTCAGCTTATTAAAGGCGTAATCGTGGACAAAGAGTTCAGCCATCCTCAAATGCCCAAGGTACAGGATATGTTATTTTTTTTTCTTTGTCAATGCACAGAATGCATTTCTGATTTTCTAATGGACTTCATTGTGATTGTTTAGGAAATGGTTGCATCATGAAACCTCAAATTTCACGATTAAATTTGATTTTTTTGGTATGGTTCAGATTTATTTTTAAATTTACACTGAAAAAACAAATGAGGCATCTGTTTATATAGACCATATATAGGCTGTTAGGCAGTCTTGCTGCCCTGTTGCTGAGGTAATTGTGTAACATGCACTTCACTTGCAGGTCTTAAAAGACACAAAAATTGCCATCCTCACCTGCCCGTTTGAGCCACCCAAGCCTAAAACCAAGCACAAGCTTGATGTCACCTCTGTGGAAGACTATAAGGCTCTGCAGAAGTACGAGAAGGAGAAGTTTCAGGAGATGATTAAACAAGTAAGTATCCTTATGTTTTGTCACTTTTGCCACTTGCACTTGTGAAGGAACTGTTGAATCCAGATATTTCTCTATCCCAAAAGGCAAAGGTTTATGGCAATGAGCAATTATATTAATTGTTCAGTGATATTTCTGGAACATATAAAATAATACCACACAATAACTCTTTAGTTTGAATCAGTTAGTATAATCAAATGAATTCTCAATCACAGTGAATGAGTGTGATACCTTGTTACTGCTCCCTGTCAGGTGAAGGAGAATGGTGCCAACCTTGCCATTTGTCAGTGGGGTTTTGATGATGAGGCGAATCACTTGTTGCTGCAGAATGAGCTCCCTGCTGTCCGCTGGGTAGGAGGACCTGAGATTGAGGTTAGTAAAAGTCTGTGGATTACATTAATCTTTATTGGTATCTTTTCTGTATCTGTCTTCTGACTGTTTCATATTTTGGAATGTTCCATTTATACTTTTAAAACTTCACTGCAACAATACAGAGACAGCGCCTTGTTCATTGTGACTTAAATGGGAATTTCAATGATTTTTCAAAAATTATGCATAATTCAGTGGTTGAGATGTATACAGTTATTCAGAGTGGTTTGATGTCAAATGGTTAACTATAGAGGCATTTGGAGACTCAGATTATTACAGTGGTGGTGATTGGAAAAAGGGGTCACGATATCTACAAAAAGAATATAGCCATTTTATGTACCATGCAAAACCACCAGTGAACCTACATGCATCTTCTGACCTTTTATATGTAACGTTGATGATGGTAAAATAGAGGTCTGAATCAAAAATATAAGTTTTGTGGACTGTTGAGCCTCTCCACTATGAATGGATTTTAAAGGTTATATTTCAGTCAAAAACCTTCTTAAAACTATCGCAAAACAGTGTCTCAGGCATCAGGCAGTGTATTCATAACCATTTCATGTAACAACTTTCTGTGAGGGGAGTTTCTAGAGGTGGACATCTGATTCCTATCACCACCACTGTGAACAAGTCTCATTTAACTGCAGAAATTTTGAAAAATTGATAATCTCCTTTTAAGTTATAAAATGTTAACCAAGGCAATATGGTAACTGAGACAATAGGTGCAAAAAAAGCCCCTTAAACAACTAATGATGTTTTATTTTAGCTCATTGCCATCGCCACCGGAGGACGCATCGTGCCTCGTTTCTGTGAGTTGACGCCAGAGAAGCTAGGCACTGCTGGCCTGGTGAGGGAACTCTGCTTTGGGACCACTAAAGACCACATGCTTGTCATCGAGGAATGCAAAAACTCCAGAGCTGTTACTATCTTCATTCGTGGAGGAAACAAAATGGTATATATTCTTTTCTTATTCTTGTATCTTATCTTGCTCTTAGGTATCAACCTAAACCTATCTGCTGTATCTATAGCATAGTCAGTTAACACAGACGACACTTTAAATGCTCTGTTCTTTTTGTACAGGAAAACGTAAAAAATTAGTGTCCATAATCGTTTGTATGCTACAGGTTCAGCGGGTGGACATTATGTTGAAAACAATTATACAGTCTTATGCAGACATTTGAACATCCCTGGTGAAATTGCATGTTTTGTGGAATTTGTAAGTGAAAATAAGTTAATCCTCTACAGGGAACACACTTATGGCATTTTTCTGAAAATTTTAGTTCACAATTTATTTTTTTTCTGACTATGTTCAGCAAATAAACAGAAATTAAAATGTGTTCTCTGTAAAGGATGTGTTAATCTATACTTAGAAAATCAACAGAAACATGTAATTTGACTGGGGCTGCCAAACTTTTGCCTATGACAGTATGTATAATTTTCTTTGTACTTCCATTTACTGTAACTTCATTTTTCTTTTTTTTTTGTTATTACATATTGATGTTTTATATTACTTAGAGTTGCTTTGTTATACTTTTAAAGTTCACAGATACTTGAATGTAATGAGTTCAGTTGAATTGGGAAAAAAAACTCACCTGGACAGCTTTAAATCAGCATGAAATGTTTCTGTTTACAACTGTTTACTAATGTTTTATGTGCCTTTAATTTCCTCAGATTATTGAAGAGGCTAAGAGAGCACTCCATGATGCCCTGTGTGTTATCCGTAACCTGGTTAGAGATAACAGGATTGTTTACGGTGGTGGAGCTTCTGAAATCTCCTGTGCTCTTGCTGTGAACGAGGCAGCTGATAAGGTATCAGTCAAAATCTTTTTTTCAAGTACAAGATGTAGGAATTTCTCTTGGTGCAGGTGTCAGTATAAATTCCAAGAAAGTGATCAGTGAATTACTTTTGAACGTTAATGTCTGCATTACATTAAACACTGAAACACGTCTAACTTAATTCTGTATTTCATTTGAATGTCTACATGTAACATAGAAGTGTCTAATTTAATGTTATATGTAGATAAAATGTCTTAAATAACATTTGTACTCTGTAACATTAACACTCTGTACCTGCTCTGCAGTGCCCGTCTCTGGAACAGTATGCTATGAGAGCATTTGCTGACGCTTTGGAAGTGATCCCAATGGCATTGGCAGAGAATAGTGGTTTGAATCCCATTCAGACGATGACAGAGGTCAGAGCCCGGCAAGTGAAGGAAAACAACCCAGCACTCGGCATCGACTGCCTGCGTCTGTCTACAAATGGTACGTAGTTCACTCATGTCAGCCACTTTGTCAGGGCACCCCTACGAGCTAAGTGGCAGGTGTTTGATCATGGTGTCAGCCTTCAGTCCTTGCAGACCACAGCATGGCAGACTTCACGGCTCTGCCTTATCAAACTCGCCTAATTCAGTTCATCAGCTTATTAGCAAGGTATTCATAAATTGAATTCAGATCACTAAGCCACAGTTACACTAGAGCAGAGGTTCCCATCCACTGGACCATTGATCGTTCGATACCAGGCCACAACAGAGTGGCAGTGAGCAGGGGGAGTTAGCAGCTTAACTGCTGTAATCTGCCATTTTTTTATTATTGTTAATGTAATTATCATAAGATTAGTTAATGGTCAAGCTTTAGCTTCGACAGTTTCATCTCAGCCATGCTATTAGTGGGGCGCATTTACTGTTAGCTGCCAGCTGTATTAAATGTTCAGTAAGACTTCATTGGAACAATATCAGTGGTGTTCTGAGATCTATGTTTTAAAAGTGTGATGCAGATTTAATAGGACTGGAGGATTTATCCAGAAAACCACTCCATAATGTGTTCAACTTCTTCTTTTTCTGCAGACATGAAGCAGCAGCATGTGATTGAGACGCTCATTGGAAAGAAACAGCAGATTTCTTTGGCAACGCAGGTGGTGAAGATGATCCTGAAGATAGATGACATCAGAAACCCTGGAGAATCTGAAGACTAGTCTGTGTTTCATGTCTTGAGCTCTTTGACGGAATTGGTGTTGTCAGAACCTTCTTACCGTTATTTATCATTTGATACGCTTCTCAGCCACTGTGTAGAGCAGAAATGATCATTAAAACGTTGCTCTGTTAGACTCTAATGGCTCTTTGTTGTCTTTTGAAGGAAAAATTTGATTAGGAAACTACTGTTAACTGTCACAGATCCCACTTTGATTTAATTAGCCAAAACGATGATGGGGTGCGTTAGTGTAGGTATCCTTGGGGAATACAAGTTGATAGGGGTGTAAATCTGTGACCTTACTACAGTTTCATTACTGTTCTTTAGGAAACTCTTTGCATCCTAATATCAAATTTCATTACAATTTGAAATTTTACTTGAATTATATTATTACTTAAATACTTTTGTTTTTCATAATATTCCATATCATGAAAAAAAAACAATTTCCCTCAATTTGTTAAAATTAAATTTTTTTTTTTAATAATTTGAAAAATGCACCACTCCCCCGTCCATACTGTCCTTTTATGGAAACTGTGCTGCAAAACTTTGGAGTAAGTCACAATGCACAGCAGCCAATTAGAACAGTGCTTATTTGCATATATCAGCCTTAAAGGCAAAGTAACAAAAAAAGCCTGTTTAAGGGATAAGGAGAGGTCATGTTCATGTAAAAATGAATTATGACTATTTTTGGTGGACCTCAAGAGGAAAAAATAAAATACAAGACAAATGTAGGATATGAGCTCTTTAAGTAGATGTAGCCAAAAATATGTTTAAAGTAACTTCATTTACAAATACCTAAAAATATAAGAGTAAATGTTTTATCTGCTAAAAGTATTTTTTTCTATGGTGGTCATCTACTTGGCATTACTAGTCCTTACACAAAAGAAAATAGGCAGAAAGTCATGTTCTTTGCACTAGGACTTTTTACAAAGTTATGTGTTTTTTTTTTCTAGAAATGGAAATGAGTGAAAGCATAAATACAAGCACAATCAGAAAGATCTGCTTATCTCGTCGTTGGCCTTTAAAGGGTCACATCACAGTAAAAAACATACCTGCAGCAACTTTGACTGGTAAAGCACGTCCTCAGAATAGAAAGTCCTGTTTCAGTAACTACACAACACTTTTTAATCGTCCACTCAGCTCCAGAAACCGTTGTGAAATGCAAGACATTTTAAATTGATGCCGGATTTGAATTGACCTCTCAAGCCGTGTAGTCAATCTGTAGTTGGCGTCAAGCCCATGTAAGGAAATCTGGGCCTGCTGTTTTTGGCAGTTTTAGGCTACAGTTTGAGTAGCTGGTGCTAGTATATATCAGTACTGAAGTTTAAGCTTTCGGAAATTTAAGCGAATGCTCCTGCTTTTAGTTTATTTTACGATGCTACAGCTGAGGTTTTTAGAAATTTCATTTTTCCTAAAGAGTAAATCTGCTTACACCTGGAGTTCCTAATGTGGGCATAATGATGACTACACAAGGAAACATGACTTAAGAAGCCTTCAGCAATTAAGCAATTACAACAAATGTACTTGATTTTGAAGAAATACTCCACTGTTTTTTCAACCTGATCTCAATGAGCTGCATCATACAGTGTGTTACCACGGGTGCTAAGTTCCCTGTATTTAGATATGGCCAGAAAATGCAATGAATATTCAGAACAGACCAAAGCATCTGCCCATTGGTTTCAATTATAGATGTGTTTTAAATCAGTGAATTGAAATTATTGTCTGTAATAACTGACTCTACAGATGCAGCAGACTGAGATCAGATTTAAAAATTATTTTGAAAAATGCAAACTGTCCCATGTCCTGCGTACTAATTCTCAATTTTGTATTTTTAGCCCTAAACATGTACTAAAAACAATCATTTTCAGTGATTAATCACCACAGGTAATGCAATCTAGACTTAAGCCAAGTCCACGGAACTGCTCCTTGTAGGCTTGTAAGATTAGATTTGAAACATTTTGCATGATTTACGTGGCCTGTGAATGACTGCATAGTGCTTCAGTGTGGGCCTAATAACCACCCACTTTAAATGTACTTATTTAACCAGTTAATCATGTCCTGCCTAGCCTCCTGAATGTAGCGTCTGTCCGGCTCGTTGATGTCTTCTCTTTTACGGTGCACAAATCCGTGAGTCTGATTGGGGAAAATCTTCACCTGGAAGTCAACAGTGCACTTTTCCTTCAGTTTCTCCTCAAGTGCCCTTACCTTCATAGAAAACATAAGAATATATAATAATCATTAATAACTAGTTATTCATATGAAGTGTTCTTCAGCTGCAGGACTCACCTGGTCAAGTGGGATCACAAAGTCATTCTCAGCAAAAATGAAGAAGGTTGGACTCTTAAGGTCATATCTGTCCTCCTTCTCTCGAACAATTCCTGCAAAGTGATAAAACTTTTAGCTGAGCTTTCAGCTCAGTGTCAAACACAGTTCTACTGTACCTCTCTCCTGTAATGACTATTGTCCTAATTTAATTGTTGATTTGAAATACTTTTTTGGACAGCAACAATATGCACTTTAAGTTTGCTTTTTTAGAGGAAAGAAATATTTTGGGGTGATTTATATCTTCTCGAGTTTCTAAGTTGAATTAACATATGGAATGAAATTAGACAGAATTAAGAATAAACAAATTAATGAAGTAAACAAACTGCAAAATTGTTTATACAAATAATTTTATCTGAAACAGTATTTTGTCACTGTCTCTTATCTCCAAAGTGGTAACTTTACAGGAGAAGGATAAACTCTCTACATTTTGAATGGAAGTTATTGGAACGAGAAGTTTGCTTAAAAGAAAATGCAGTCGTGGGAGAAGTTTGCTTAAAAGCAAACTTTACCAAAAGCTAGAACTTTTTCTTTTTCTCCCACAACTGCATTTTCAAACTAGCCCACCTTCTGAAAGAATACTTTACCAAAAGGAAAATGAGAGTCTTGGTTTGACTTTTTGTTTCCTAGCACAATGGCACAAATGTCCAAATATTTTCTGTTTTTAATACAAAGTCAGTGTATACCACAAGTCTACAAGTTCATTACCATAGACTGAAACTCCAGCCTTTATCTCTGGATACTGGAGGGAAATGTAGTGCGTGGCCACTCCACCCCAGCAGAAACCAACAACACCAATCCTGCTGACCCCACACTGACCCTTCAGGTACTTCAGGACCGCGTCCACCTCTCTGCATACAGAATCATGCTTAATTAACCAAATCATGACAGACAGAAAACTCTCTACATTAATAGATCAAAATTAGGAATGCACGATTGTAATTGGCCAAGATCGGAATCACTCAATATTTACTCTGAACACTCAGCCTGTTTATTATTTTGATTTTGGCTGATCTGTGTTGATTTTATGACATAAATAGCATGTCAAAGCATAATTATTCATGACTCATTGTGCTAACTAGCCAGTCGCCTCTTACTTAAGGTTGAGCTCTTTATGCGGTTTAGTAAAATAGGCAACTGATTTTTTATTTAAGTATTTCAGATTTAAAGTTTGACCTATTATGTAATTATTATGTAATTACATTAAAGTAAAAATATATATATTATTTACATAGTGTCTGTGTGCTAGTGTGTTTCTTGGGTTAATTTAATCCAAACAGTGTGAAAAAAAAGACAAAAAACTAAGTAAAATCAGCCAAAAATTGCCCAGAACCAGACCTAGCCATTAAAACTCATGATTGAAGCACCCCTAATCACAATGTTCTTCCTGATACTGAATTTTATCACTTGTTGGTAAAGCACTTTAAAGCATATTTGATCAAATCTGAACCATTACTTGTTGATGTTGGTGGGTTTTTTGTCCTCCAGCCACTGCTCGAACCCTGACCAGTCATTGGACGGACTCCATGGCTCTTTTCCAATAAAGAAGTCTGGACAAACAGCACTGTAATCATAAAGCTCAGGTAAACATGTATTCAGCTACAGCCTGGACAGTCTTGTGTACACTGTTAAAGAAGTATTACATATATCCATTTGAAGCCAGCATGTCAGCCATGTATCTGGTGTTGGGGAGCTGCCACCCAAAAATGTCCTGAATTATGATGAGGGCTTTGTCAGTCGGAGCTTTGGGCTTCACCACGTAAGCTTTAATGTGCTCAATCTGGACCTCCTCTCCGAGACTGCCATATTCAATCTTATCTCCAATGTCACACGGGCACGGCCTTGCTTCATTCGCCATCTGAGGGAGAGAAAGTCAAAACGTATTCACATGCAGAACACCCCCAATGGAAATGTATCAAAGTAAACTGCAAAATAATGCAGAAAGAAGCATAGTACAGAAAAAGTAGTTCTATGCAAAAGTTTGAACACCCCCAGTCAAATTACGTTTGTTGGTTTTCTTACAACTTAAATATGACATTTGTTTCTGCCTAGTGTCTATTTATTTGCTGAGTTTAACATACTAGAACGAAAAAAAATGCCAGAACTTTAGCACAGGCCACATTTTATGCTTTTTTCCTAAATAAATATGCTTTTTTTGTATTCTGCTTTCTTTACAGCCTTTTCTTTACCTTCTTGTGCAAATAAAAAAATTTAAAAAACAAGTATTTATTTGTATGTAATGAAATATTAACAGACATAGCAACATTATTTCTTATTTTGTCCACTTTTTAGTAGACGAAAATCTACACGTAGTATTCAGGCATTTTAATCGAGAACAGACGTTTGGAATAGAAACTAAACGCGATGTAATCTAATCAGATAGTCGAAATACTGGAGCCACATGCTGGATCACGTGACACATTTATGTAACCCCAGATCAAACTCCATTCATCATGACATAAGCAGAAAAACTGCCTTTCTGTTGTATTAATTTTTTGCAAAACGTTTTTTTTAATTCGCTAACACTTCTCCCACACAGCTTGTGATGATGCCAGTAGTTCACTGTGCTGACTCGCTTGCTTGCGTCCTTCATATCGTCTCCGCTTCACCCAAATCACGTTACAACGCAGTGAGAAGTGAAAACAGGCCTGAATAACGAGCACAGTGAAGTTAACACCCTGTTCGCTGTATAAGTTTATTTCACTTACCGTGGAGTTCTCGGCAGTTTCTGCTGTAGAAGAACAACACTCAGCTTGCACAGAGAGCACTAGCTAAACGGAACTGCCCCTTCAGACACGCCCCCCACCGTGGGCGAAACGCGACTGTGATTTTCACCACTGACGAAGCCAGAGGCGGGTGGGCTCTGATAGTCACTCCCAGACACTATCCGGTAAAAACTTAATTTAAAAAATGTAATTTAAAATGTAATTAACTATGAATTTGTACTGCTGCTTCAAGCAAAGAAACTTCTAACACATCTTTTTTTGTGAAGGTCAGTACAGTCAGATGCTCTTTTAGGATAAAATAACTTTATCCGAAAAATATCTAACATTTAATGACAATAATGAAAAAATGTACATATGGAATCAACCTTTTCTTATTTATAGCAAAATACAACACAGATCAGCCACCGTATTAAAACCACCTCCTTGTTTCTACGCTCATTGTCCATTTTATCAGCTTCACTTACCATATAGGTGCACTTTGTAGTTTGCCTACTTTCTTAGCGCCCTTTCACACTGTTGTTCAATGGTCAGGACCCCCACAGAGCAGGTTTTATTGGGGTAGTGGATCATTCTCGGCACTGCACGGACACCGATGTGGTGATGCCGTGGTAGTGTGTTTATAAGTCATAATCATGAGAAACTTTCTTGTTATTATGGTATACTATGTCATAATTATGAAATACTAAGTCATAATCATGAGAAACTTTCTCATTATTGTGATATACTAAGTCATAATTATGAACTAGTAAGTCATAATTATGAGAAACGTTCTCGTTATTATGATATACTAATTCGTAATTGTGAAATACTAAGTCATAATCATGAGAAACGTTCTCATTATTATGATATACTGTGTCATAATTATGAAATACGTAGTGATAATTATGAGAAACTTTCTTGTTATTATGATATACTAATTCGTAATTATGAAATACTATGTCAAAATCATGAGAAACTCGTTATGATATACTAAATCATAATTATGAGAAACATTCACATTATTATGATATACTAAGTCATAAATATGAAATACTAAGTCATTATCATGAGAAACTAATTATTATGATATACTAAGTCATAATTATGGAATACTAAGTCATAATTATGGAACACTAAGTCATAATTATGAGAAACTTTCTCATTATTATGATAAGCAGAGTTAATACAGAAGCCCATTACAACCCCTGGAAAGAGATATATAGCCACTTAGTAACTTATAATAATGAGAAAGTTTCCCATAATTCTGACTTGCTATCTAATAATAATGATTCTGTCTCATAATTATGACTTAGCATGTCATTATTACGTCTTACTGACTTACATTTATAATTTAGTATCTCACAATAATGTAATTATTACTTACTATTTCATAATAAGAACTTACTATATCTTAATCATGACTTACAATCTCTTATTCAAGATTAAACGTCTCATTATAATGACTTATTTTCTTATAATTATGATTTCGTTTCATGATATGGACATAAAACGTGGTGTTCGATAAAGCTGTAAGATATAAGAACAATAATGATATGAGGAGCCATAAGTTATTAGTAAAATATTGTGCCTCTGACTGGACAGGACGCATGTACAGACTTTTTTAATGTGTATAAAGAAATCTAACTAACCTCTCCTTCAAGCAAACAGCAAAATATATAATTACAAAAGCACCATTTACTTTTGTGCAAAATAAAAAGAATTACTGAAATACTAACAGCTACTAACATCAGATCTGCCAGCAGATTTTTTGCGCACTGAAGGGCTGAGAAACAGTCAGCATTACCCCAACACCTTTTTCTATAAAGGCTACAAAAATACATAAATGATATGACGTCCCCCGATGCTGCATTTCTGAGGATATTTGATCTGTTCTGTCATTGCAGCTTATAACTAGGTGTTTATCATGGAAACTCATATCACGATAACAATAAAACTATGATCTATCAAACAGCCCTAGTCTACAGAATGGACATTGTTTAAAGCAAAGGATCAAGTAAACCTATGCTCTAGAATTATTAGAAGGGAAGTATATCATAGGATACACATCCAAATATGTTCATATCTATAACAAGACATGTATGAATGCATTTCAGTTGTGTTATAGTGTTCTAGGTGAGAAAGCTTCAAAATGTAAGAAATCATTCTGAAAGCAGTTTATGAGATTGTTATTTTATTATGGAAACTGTTTGAGCAGCAGTACTTGGGTGCCTGTTGAGCTTTATAAATATCTTGTTGCTCTTTTAGGAGAAGAATGGAGATACTTGCATTGTGAAATGTTTTATAGTAGTTCTTGTACCTGTTAATGTTCTACTTTGCACTTGGACTTTCATAAAGAGAAAGCAATACAGGGAAGTTCACTAAGTGAAGATCATTTTATTTAGAAGATTTTGTTCTGCAGCGCTGAGTTTAATAACAGTTTGTTGTTTCCTTAAATCACTGGCCATGGCATATTAATGCTCTATTACTGTTTCAGTGCAAGGTAAATGAGTGCAGTTGAAGAGCACTCAGAGCGGAGAAAATCTAAGAACCAATATGTTACTTTAAAGAAAGCATTTTGTTACTCTGATATTTTATTAAACAAGTTTGTGTTACTTTGACCCTGTATCACATATCATTCACAAATGCATGTAATTCAAAGCAAGTGATGTAATTAAAATGACAGAAAATTACAATGTGAAATGAAATATTAGAGACTGTTGTTTGATATTACAAAACTTACTTTACTGTGCTTTTTTATCACTCTTGTTTCAGTAATATAATAATAATATTTTTGACAATTATAACCGCAAAATCTGATGTTTGCCAGGTTTGCTATAAAGTTTTCATTTCAGATGACCGGCATTTAATTCGTTGCTTGTGATTATGAAAAATCTGGTTGAGCTTAATTCAGGAAAATAATGGACTAGTATTTAGGTTGCTCGGTCTGTGTAGGTTAAAATAAAAATACTGTCCAGTTGTGGGCAAGGATCATTAGACTGAGGTGAACCTGGCCACACTCTACCCTCACCCACTGAAGTTCAGGGAACACAGCTTTGTGTTTAGGAGGTACCGCGGGTAAATACCAGGTTACAAGTCATTAAGTATGCATGTCCTCAAAAATAGGTACATTTCTGTTGCCTCAGCAGGTGTGGTGGGTGGGTGTAGGTCGTTCTCAGCCATAATATGACCGGACAAAGTGAAGACTGTCTCACTGCAGAGGTGTGGACTTCTATGTGGGCATGTAGTTGTTTCAAGTGACCTTTTGCCCCAGAAACTTGTGTACATCATGAATGGGCGTGCATGTGGTGCATCCGTGCAAGGTGGAATTTAATTGTTTAATTAAGAGTTGCTGCAGCTCTTCCTACAGACAAACAACAGTAAATTCTTTTTTTTATGTTATATAATTAAGCTCTCTCTCTCTCTCTCTCTCTCTCTCTCTCTCTCTCACTCACTCACTCACTCACACACACACACACAAATGTTTATCTCAGTGGCATTTAAACAAGTAAACAGTATTACAGTATTAGCTGTTTCTTGAGGAGGTCACCTGTAAAGAGTTCTGAATCCTTTAGTTGCTGGAAGCGGTTCATCAGTCTTGGCTGATGCTGTTTCCTCACAAATGCCCACCACCCCTCTATTCACTGATTGTGGTTGCTGGAGTCATACAATCCGAACAGCCACTTCATTAAGTACGCTTACCTTATATCTACACTCTTTGTCCATTTTTAGGTCCATTCACCACACAGGTAGAACTTAGTGCTGTGCTTCAAAATAACATATGTAACATAACAGATGCTAATGTTTCCTGTCAAATAAATAGACTAAAATAAGAATGAACCTTTTTTAAAAACTAAACAGAACCAGGCGTGACTGATCCCACAATACTGTAGGTGAAGTATGTGAAGTAGGTGAAGTATCTTGGTGAAGAAAGAGACATGGTGAATGCCTTCTGCTACAAGAAGTACTCTTTATTAACACTAGCAGAAGAGGTACATATAAAGCCTCTGGAATAATAGACATTGTATCTCATATTTATATCTTAATAGTGAGATTGTTATTTTTGTGCTTAATAACAACTATTATTTTTAGATTTATACCCTGGCAAGGTCTGCCTGTTTTCTTACTATACTTCTTGAATACATGACTTCTATATACCTTAACTCTCTATATCTTTATACTTCTTGACAATTCAGTAATTTAAAAATTACATTACAGATAATAATAATACAAATATTCATATGTTTCATTTAATCATCACAGATAGCTGATTTATGGATTTTTATATTATAATCAGTTACATAATGTTTATGTATTAACTTATCCGACTTATTCCACATATTCCAAGAAAAAAAAAAAACACTAACCAGCATAAATATTGAAAAATGTTGTTTTGCAAACTACATCATAGCTGGGGTAACTCTCACCTAAATACATATTATAGAGTACTATCGTATGATAAAAAGATACTTTCCTCACTTAACCATGAAAGCTGTTGAAAAGGCACCGCTGGGATTCGAACCCAGGATCTCCTGTTTACTAGACAGGCGCTTTAACCAACTAAGCCACGGCGCCGCGGCTGCAGATCGAAAATACTGAGTTTTAGAACAGGGGAGAAACTCTGACTGATAACATGTCTTCTTCATTTTACTGGCCAGGTTATTTCATTCTAAATGAAAAGGGCGTTTTTTCACTGACCAGCTATAAGCTCACATTTCCAGCGCCGTATTATAGTCAGTTATCAATCAGCCGCCATATGTTTCTCTTTACAGAATCATGCTAAGCATAACTAAATACACGCTTTAGCTGTACTGAACACAACACAAACACTTTATCGAACTCAAGATAAACTCCCTGAATACACCGCTGTGATTTGATAGAAATTTGATATTTGAAACTAAGCTGGCTAAATCAGAGCCTGCTTGGTTAAATCTGACGAAAAATTACTCCTCCTTGTGAATATTCCACAAAAAAGTGGGTTTTCAATTCACTTATGCACCATGATTTCATTAATCAGCCTGTGTTCTTTACTGAGTTACTACACTGAGTTTAACCAAGACGACACAAGTCACACATAAAGCCGTGTATCTCAGTTTCTGTCAAGTAGGTGGTGCTATATCGCTGCTTCTGTTAGCAAAACTGA